TTCATTTCCGGTCCATTTCCGGTCCTCTAACCCTAAACCCTAATCCCTAAACTAAACCCCGATGCCCGAACCCTAATCCCTAAGCCCTTACCTCCTATCATGATGTGGCACGACCTCCTGGCCAACAAGCTGCGCATACCGCGCTGAGGCCTGGCATTCTAGCTTGCTTGGGTTGGTTCAGGGTTTAAGGTTTAAGCAGTCAGTATTAGGACTCAAAACCCCCGTACACTAACCAGGACGCCCCACAAGAACCCAAAGAAACTTGTCCTTTGAAAAGAAGTCTATATGGGGATCCACCTTTGCTTCAGTGGAGGGTAGGGTTCAGTGCTGCGAGTTTAGGCCTAGGGTACCTGAAAGTCAGGGAGCCAGAACCTCCTGAAATACCTCAAAGACACTTTGGGGGTCCCGTCTTTGTTTGGGCCAGTGTAGTAAGACTTCTGGCTTGCTGGGATTCCAAACCCTAATCCCTAAACCCTACTGGGACCCACCGGTGCTTAAGGGGGAATAGGGGAGTGAATAAAGGTACCATTGTAGGGGCATATATAGGGGTTTCTATAGGGATTAATATAGGCATCCACTCCCCCACTCTCCCCTAGCACCAGTAGGCCATGCCTGGGCAAAGATAATTAAGCGAGATGGGCTAAGCGCAGAAGTGCGCATCCATCCCTATCTCCCAGCAGATATACGCGAAACCCATCTAAACCCCAAACCTCAACCCTAAACCCGCAAGCCCAGGTAAATACAACTTGTGTAGGACAAGAGCAGGAACTCCATCAAGACTTTGTCAAACTTCGCTTAACACTCCCCCCCCTCAACCCTATGCAGCTTGCATAAACCCCAAACCTCCCCACCCAGGGTTTCGAGGTCACCCCCCTTTTTCCCTATGAGATTTTGGTGCTTTTGCAGGTCCATGGGTATATATGACTTAAGGTGCATACCTATATAGGACATGGCTTAAAGGGGTTATATAGGGATTATATAGGGGTTATATAGGGATTATCTAGGGTATATATTGGGGTTATATTGGGATAATGGAAAATAAAATGGAAACTACAGGGATTATAGGGATTGTACTCTAAGGATTATTTGGGTGGTTGTCAAAATCATGGTCCCCTTTTTGGGTACCCTAAATATTAGGTGCCGTACTATAACAGGGATCCAAAAAGGGACCATAATTTTGACAACCACCCATATATATAGCATCTATATATAATATCTGTATATCTATCTATATATATAGAGAGGAAACTAAATATATTTTTATATATATAGGATATGACCTGATATGACTTGACGTTTCCCTACCTACTTCTTCTTTTGGGTGCGAGAGATAGGCTTGAAGGTGGAGGGGTTGGAGTTTGGTATTCCCTCCCAGTTCGTGTTGGGGAGGGGGGGGCTTTGTTTGAAGATTCATGGGCACGGGGATCATGTGAGAAGTAGGAGATAAGACTCATATGAGATGATGGGCAAAAAGTCAGATAGGGCTGGTTTAAGAATACCCCAAACCCAAAATACTAAACCGCGTGACGAGTTGAAGTAGGACCGCCACGCAGTGCCTATGAAAAGTGGTTCACTCGAGTGGAAGCAAAACAGGGGCTTTTAGGATGAGCTCTACATACAACCCCCCAAACTAACATGGAAACCCATATAGCCCCATTGTAGAGGGACTATAGTCTTTATAGGGCCCCTTTTGGGTTTCCATGTTAGTTTCCAGGAGTGTATCCCTTGGGGGTTTCGGAAAATAAAATGGAAATTGCTATAGGGATTATATCATATAGGGGTGCTATTGGGATAATGGAAAATAAAATGGAAATTGCTATTCAGGGTTTACGTAAGATTTAATGGAGGAGCTTCATCTTTAGCATGGACTGGCTGGCCTGAAGCAGGAAAACCAACAACCACTGTAATCCCTGAAATAGGCCCTATATAATCCCTATAATCCCTATGGTTTCCATGTTCTTTTCCATTATCCCTATATCATTCCCTATGAAATTATAATCTCAAAGAAGGATGCCCCGGAGGAAGCCGAGGATGAACTAAGATAAATCCCCTCCCCTAGCATTAACCACCAA